TACATCAAACACTGCCACAGTGCGTATTGATAAGTAGATGGAACAGGAAAAAGAAGCAGAATGGGGGGTTGGAGGTCGATGTGTGGCTCTGAGCATCCTCGGTGGCAGCAGGTCTGTGGGGGGAGGGGCCCTTCAGCAGGAATGCAGGGCCCTCACAGCCCCCCCAACCCCGTTTCCTTTTTTTTTTTTGCGTTTTGCCGTCTCTTTTCTTTCTCCCTCTCTCCTTTTATCCCCCTGTTGAGATTAGGTGTCAGTTCTCCTGTGTGCCTCGTGTTTGAACCCTCTGGTACAAGAGCAAAGAAGTTTGTTTGTTTTGATGACTGTGCCAGCGTTAAAGTGGTAAGTGGGTGGACGCGTTTAACCGCAGTCCAGTTGCTGTTAAAAGCTGCATTGAGAGGGACACTCAAGTCATTATTAAAAACAGACATGTTCAGGGGGGCCTCCGATGGCTGTGCTGCAGTAAAAGGTTTCGTTTCCCTGAGCTGTTTTAGGAAAAAGGTTTAATATGTTTAATCCCGACAACGGTTGAGAGTAATTCTGAATCAAATGTGAAAGCATGTTGTTGTTTTTTAACAAATTCACTCTAGAAGAAGAAAGCAGAAAGGGAAACTTCAGCTTCTTGACTTGTGTGAAATTCTCCCCAGGTAAAGAACGTGACTTGTTTAGGCTTGCTTTGCAGTGCTTGCTGGGAAATCCTGGAATGTGTGGAATGGGGGACGGTGGTGCTTCTGCAGTTATCTGACTGCACGGAGCAGCAGTGGAGCCCTACATGTCAGCAAATGTGTTTTCACATGTGCAGCTTTTGAAGGTTCAGCTTAGATGGATCAGAATGAAGCGTCTATATTTCCTAAATCATAGTTCAAACTTAATAAGTTCATAATGTTTGCTTTGGGTTGGTGTGTTAGGTTTTAGGTTTAAATGTGTTTAAAGACTTTATTTATAAAGAATAAAGCTGAAGTTTTTATTCCAGAAAGATCCATTGATTCACAGGGCTGTAAGTAATGAACAATTTCACTAATTCATAATCATTTATTTCTAAAGTCCTCTTTGAAGTTGTTCTCATTAATGTTTAAATTAAAGCTGTTTTCTTCGCCTATCTCCTTTGAAAAATGACAAATAAAGATAATTATATAATTCCACATTTCTGGAGGATTTTTCTTGAAAAAACTCAATAAATGCAGTCAAACATATGAAAGTAATCACCCTAAGATAAACATTTCTGGACAAAAGGAAATTCTGAGTTCATGGAAAGGTTCATTTAAAAAACATTGAATCTGAAAAATAGGCCTAAAAGGTATCCTCAGTTTGAAAGGGATATAATTAACTCTTAGTGAGCATTTTTTCAATTTCAGCAATCCTTTTGGTTAATCTTCCTTTATATTATAGGTTTTAAAAATCATAATTATTTAGTTCAAGCACAATGTTTTTAAAACTTATTGGAAACTTCCTATTATCTGAATTTGGTGCATCTTTAAAATATAAATCAAAGGTTTAAATGGTATGCTCAGGGGAAACATCCTAGCTAATAAATAAAAAAAATAAAAATGTTTCCATATGTAAAAAAAATGTATTTGCATTTTTCTGCAAAGAAATCCCTCAAAGTTTGTATGTGTAAATTAGGGGGTCTTTTTCTAAGAGTAAAATCAAAACACAAAAACAACTCATGCGTCTATGACAAGCTTTGCTTTTCTTATCAACATTTTTAATGTCTCAATAAGTTTCTCAAAAAAAGTAGAGATGCTGTAATTGATATTTACTGTTTAGATCATCATCTGCAAAAATAAAAAAAGCTTTTTCTGCTATTCAATCAGAAATACTGCTAACAGGCTTATGATCTAAAGCTTATCAGGCACAGGGGTAATTGATTCTTGTGCAGAGTAATGTTAGGATAAAGCTTAGTGTATCTGAATATGTAAAGTCTGTCAAAATCCATTCCTGCTTACTACTGCTCAACCCTCAAAGAAGCACACATGGTGTCAGAAAGGCCGCTTTGTGGTGTTGGCAGAAAGCAAAATGTTTTATTTATATCTCTGCTTTACTTTCAGATGCTTTTCAGGATTTTTAAAGAACTTGGATCTAAGAGGCAAGAGTTATGACATTGGTAGCATGTAATGCCAAAGGCTTTTTTAGTTGGTAATTAGATATTTATAAAGTGAACCAGTGACCTATAGAGCTAATTAAACAGCTTTGAGTATTGTTTAAAGCTATCTAAAAATCACTGAGTTTGGTATCCATTATTGATACTTGCATATGTAAATGCTAATAATTCACTCTTTTCATTTCGCTTTATCCACAAATCAAAACAACTGAATAAATATTTTTTCTTTTATTTCATAACACAATCTATTTATTTCCATCCTGAGACATAGCACAGAAGTGGTTAAAGCAGGATAAACAGTTCAGAAGAGATGAAAGATTAGGCTTTCTGCAGGCAGGACAATATAACAGGACAGAATTAACCAAATGATCTAGTAACAATAAATACAGGTGACAAGCAGACAATGGTGAAGGGAAATCCAAACAAACCAGAAATAGCCCCGTTACAATAAATGAAATCATCTAGGAAACATGTGTTTGTGTGTTTATGAGGACAGAGGCTCTAAGAAAAGAAGAGGGTTTACCACCTCCCTTTTTTTAATTAGCCTACAAAAAAAAAGATCAAGCCTTGAGAGTATAAATGGTGTATTCCTTCTAATATTTTAGTTCTGAGCACCTGCATAATGAAGCAGAAAACAAAACCAAACTCAAAAACAAAAGAAATGCAGTGGCTGTGTGTGCCAAACAGGATAGCTGTGACACTCTCCACACTTCAGTCCTGCAAGATGACTTTATCATTTCCTGTGAGGAGTGGTCAAAAAAAAGCTCTTATATATAATCACACATGAGCTCTGACATCATGCAGCGCTGAGAAGGAGGGAGTGTTTTTAACCACAGTGGGTAGGTACCACAGGACCACACAGGTCTGGCTGAGTGTGTGTTTGTCAGTTCATGTGGGATACAAATATTACACCTGATTAGATCACTTCTCTGTTTAATGGCTCTCCAGCAAATCAAAGGGTTTCTTGCAGTTTTTAAAGGGTTTGTTTACTGGATTGAAAGCGCAGCATGTCCACCAGTTTAAGTTAACTGATTAGAAACAAAGCTAACAATATTTGGCTGAATTTGATGCTAAAAATAAAAAAAATAAAATCAATTATAATGTTTATGGTATCACATGTTTAATAACTGAAAATAATCATTGCAAAAGTGGTCATTCTGTATGCTGCAGCAGTGATTAAGCGCCATCTAGTGGATCCTTGCAGGATAAAAGGCTGTTGCTTGTATGCAGTAACCAGAGGGAAAGTGTGTGTGTGGGGGGGGGGGGGGGTTACCCCCTGGACAGATTAACAGTCCTTCACAGGACAACAGAGAGATGCACAAAAAAAAATCATTACAGCACACACTGATCACCGGAAAATAACTGTGCACGTATAGACACAATGTGGGTATTCTAGAGAGACCATTTCATGCCACATGCATAGTTTTATATGGTTAGAGAAAATCTTGCAGGCAAAACTTGTATGTACAGGAAGCACAAGCTAGTTAAAAAGGAACAGGTATTGCAAAAACATGGTCAAAAACCACACTGTCTGAATAGAGTAAAAACATACTGTTATATTACAGTTAAGGCACAAATGTAATTGATTAGAATCACATTATATTTCTCAGTATATATATATTTGTGGTGGGGTTGCTGAAATGAAATTCACAGCAGATTGAAAAAAAAACAAAAAACAAATCAAAACAAATAAGTTCATAAATGAAACTGTGTACTAATTTGGATTTACACAAGGGAATGTGTAAAACAGACCTAAATGATAGTTGGCATAAACTCATTTTTTGTTAATAACATTTCCATTATTATCCTTCGATGTGAATTGCCCATCTGCATGAAATACTCAGCTGTAATGCAAACATGAGGGCTCTGAGGGCTCTATGCCATCAAATCATTTGTTTTTTAATTCAAAGTGGTGTAACCACTTAACCAGATTTTTTTTAGGAGCTTTACATTCTTTGCCTGAAACCACCCGAGATTTTACTTGTCAGTGCTTCGGGGCCGCTGTGTAACTAAAACCTTTACCCCTTTTTTCATATTTTAATCTTCATCAATTTCTTCGTTAATTTCTCCATTCATCTCTCCTTTGATCTGCAAGTATTGTGAGCTAGGAAAAAAATGCCACACACTAAAGTGTTCTCATTTTTGGACTTTCCTCCTGATAAGGGGTTTTAAGGTGGTGTTGAATACCATTCCTCCACAAAACAAGTTGTTTGGTATCATCTCTTAAGGCTTACTTAAACCAAGCTTAGACATACTTTTCCTTCAGCAGTGGACTGTGCACAGAGGCCACAACTGGCCCAATTTTTGTTATTTTTTTAAAAGATAAAATCTACCTTCAGAAGGATCTGTACGAGTATTTGTGCAACTCTTCTGATTTTGTGTCTGGACTCTTCTGTCATATTTCCTGTGAAGAGCACCCAGTAGGTAGACTTTATTCAAGTCAATGGGGGATTAAAAAAGGTTTTTGCTGCGATAAGTTTATGTGTTTGACGTTTCTTTTCCCTGGTGTCGTAAAAGTTAACTATTTTAGGAAACAAGCTTTCTCAAAAATCTGAACTCAAAGAATCCACTTCAATAGATTTTGAATGTGTACAAAGTTAAGATATAATTTACCCAATAAAAAAGAAACTTGAAAGTCTTGATGACAAAGTTTTTTATTGTGTCAAGGTATTACTAAAGATTGTTTATCATTTTGTATATAGGTGGAATTATCTTGAGGTGAATAACTAATACTTTCCCCCCCTTTTATAAATGAGGGCAGATATAAGTTTTTCTTCTTTCTGCTCCTTTTCATTCTCGGTTTTAGTTGTTATATGACTGCTTTATGTTGTGTTTTATTGAATGAAATAAATAAAATACAATAAAGATGTGGTGTTTAAGCAGCTTAGTAAATAGACAAGAATATAACTGATTTATTGACTTTATTCAGCAGATGTTGCACTAACAATGAATAAATAAAGTGTTTTTAAAACCATTAAACAAACCTTAGAATAAAAGTGCATCCTGCAATATTCCCTATAAAACACTCCTTCTTGCAATAAAAATCTTAAACCTTTCAGAGTAAACCTTTTAAAGGCTCCACAATATTTATCCAGTAGATGGCGCGCTTGGGGTCGTAAGGGATCTGACCATCCTTCCATATCTGTTGGGAGTAAAGGAAAAGGGATAAAAAGGTTTTTATTACAGGCATAAAACAAAGCTAACATATGTTTTCCATTTTAAATCCTGATAGAAAAACAAACCTTAGTTTCTGTGCGATGTGATCACATGGTTGTTCACATTCTGCTCTGTTGAAGCAACGTCTGCAGAGTTTTGTGAAGCTGTCTCATGGGGCATCTGAGAAAAGATCAACCTCAATGAGACATTTTTAAAATACATCGACAGAACTCCTAAAAGTTTTTAATAATAAAGGAGGAGCACTGACCAGGACTGGAGGAGCCATAAAGAGATAATTGAAGGGGTAGTAGAGGAGGTTGATAAAGGTGGAGGAGTAGAGATCTGCATAGCGAATCAGCTGACTGGCAAACAGGGTCTGTGTGTAGCCGCTGCGCAGAAGGCTGCCCATTTGCCCATAGGACATGTCCATTCTGTGGGTCAGCACCTGGAAGCAAAAAACAAATGTTTATCGGCTACAAACAATGGCCTAAAGGGACGGATACATTGTGGACCTGCAAACGTTTTTATATCATTAATGTTTTCACTGGAATTTATTTAAGTAGATCAATACACTGTAGTTTGTGCTTGTGAACCAAAAGCGAGGTTTAAAGATTTTTTATAATTTGAGCTAAAAGGCAACATTGGAAAGAGAGCAGAGCATTTTGTGTAGGGTAGGGGCCCCCGACTAAAATAGCAAGAGGTCCAGTACATTGATCTTAATAACAATCTGGAGTACAAACAGTTTAATCCAAAATGCATTTTTTTATACATTCAATTAACAATATAGATTTTTTGATCACTAATTGCAAATGTTCATTAGGCAATTGAATCGTCTGCTAAAAAAATAACAGTGCAATTCAAATTAAACACAGAAAATGTTATACACAAAACATTAAAATAAGAAAACATTCAGTTTAAAAGGTCAAGTAGTATTCAGCAAAACTAAGTGCAATTTATGCACCACAAACAAGCACAGCTATATTTCACAAGGAAATTATGCAATAACTGTCAATACAGCTCTTTATCTTTTTAATTGGACTTATTTCTGGACCACATGAACAAGTTACTCTAAATCCTTCCATTGTAGCTGTTTGGGATTGGTGTTTACCTTCTATAATTTATTGAAATAAAAAATTTTTAACTTGTTTTATTTTGTTTTACTTATCTGATCCCAACGGGAAAGTAATTTAGGGAAAAATAAAACTACAGAATGGCTCAGATTATCTCATATTATTTTATTGTGTTTTTTATAAGAATTTTATCTGTCAGCCGTATTGCAACTTGGACTGATCAGCAACCTTATAGGTGCTTAACTTGTGCTTATTAAACTTATAAAGAGATGACATTCCTCAAGCAAAAATAATCAGGATAGAAAAACTAATGCAGTTAATACCATTTTAGAAATTTACCTTTATTCTTTTCTGAATGCTGCTGATGTCAGGATAGTCTTTGCTGCCGCTGTCTAAATGCCTTCAATCAGAACAAGACAATGATTTTTAAAACCACGGCAACAAGGTAAAACAAAGCAAGCCCACTTAATCATAAAAAAAACTGCTGTAATCATAAGTTAAAAATGAAGATTACATGGTTGGTCTCTGTGACCAGGCTGGACCCACATAATTAGCTGTGCAGCAGCTTCACCTGGTGGCCAAAGTTAAATACACATGGTGCAAAAAGTGTGTGCGCATTAAAGGTACACTATGTAACCGGTGTTGATTTTCCAGCGAGGCTCCCCCCAGAGGGCGAAAGTAAAAGTGCACTGTCGTAAATATGCTCAGCTGTTCTCCTGGTTTCTCCGTCAAGCCAGGCGCGGTTGTTTTGAGCTTAGCAGCGAATGACTAATGCTGCGTTCACACTTGACGTAGCTGGCGCGACAGAAGCAGCGAGTTTACATGCAAAGTCAATGGTTGACGCGCGTCAAGGCGCAGCAAAAGGTCCAGCGGCGCGTTTTGAGCAACAGGCGCAGCACGTCTGAGCAGCTGAAGCAGCGCATCGGGCGCGTTTAACGCAGGGAGAGAGACACAGCGCTGATGATCACTCCTCTTAAACAGTTTATTGACGCCTAAATTAACTTAAAATGCAGAAATCTGCCGGCAGAATATGCAGTTTGGATTATTTAGATGAAAAACACCTACCAGCTGCCGCGGTGAACCGCTGCTTATGAAGGGATCCATACTGTCGGCGCATCCCTGGTATGTGGGGGTCTGAGCGGCTCCGACAGAAAAAATATTGAAGGCAGGATAATAATCTGAATGAACTGACTGCACTGATTACGTTTTCAGGTGTATTTTCTCACTTAAACACATATTAAAACTACTTTATTCCCACTGATCACAGCAAATATAGCTGCAAGGCAGAGAAAGGTTAGTGAAGCTCCGCCCAATGCGCCTCAGACACACTTTTGCACCGCAGCCAGAGCAGCAAAGCTGCTTCAGCCGTGCGTCAGAACAAACTGGTACAAGCAGCAAAAATGAAGCAGCAGACGTGCTTTTGCTGCGTGAATGTAGCATTACTGCACAAAGATTGCCACTGTGCTAGCAACGAGCATGCTTTTAACTGGGGGGTGTAGCAGTTCTCGCCGTAAAGCAAGACTGACTCTCACGAGACTTCTGAGCCTGTGGGTGCGGGTCGGTGCTCCTGCAGTTGCAAGTGCAGTATTTCCCCCACAGACCACCAGGGCGGCCGAGAATACCTTTGTTCAACCTGAAATGACTCATTTAATCATCCATAACGTTATGGAACACATTAATTAACTGAAAAATGTTGCATAGTGTGCCTTTAAAATTGCTTATGTATGATGAATATAAACTATGTCCTGGGAATTTTCTTTACATTTGTTTGTCTAAAATAATTGATAAAAATACGTGTGTGTGATTTTAAGATAAAAACAAAAAAAAATGTATGCAGGTACAAGGAAAGAAAAGCTATTTTGGTTTCAGTAATAAACAGAAAACAGCTGCTAAATTGTCTCTTTATCTTTAACTCTATTTAGGAACCTCCCATCAAGTACTTTAAATGCTGGGCCAATACAGACGCAGACTTACTTGTACAGTTCAGCTAAGTAGAAGTCCAGACGTTTCAGCTCCTCAAAAATATCTGCAAATTCAGAGAAAATCACCCAGAATTAAAAAAACAAATTACATAATGATTGTTAAATAGTAAATAAAGACAGAATGCTCACTTTTCCTTTCCTCCCAAACTTGCAGCTCCTTGGTTAGCTCAGGTACAACAAGGAAGGTCTTCCAGCCTTGGCGTTTCTTTGATTTAAGGATGTCTCCAAATATGTGATCTCCAACATAGAGGATATCCTTGCCTCTGACATCCAGCAGATCAGTAATGAGGTCTGAAGATCCTGCATTTCGAGAAGAAAATATGAATTAGGCATACAAAAAAATTTAATAAAATGAGGCTTATTTAAATGTAATATTGTGAAAGCAGGTTTAAACAATTAAAGTAGACTTATTCTGAATGTCTCTGTAAGGCTCATGGTTATCTTAAAGCAAATTAAATTCTAAGCACAGTAAATACTTTATTTTACACATACAGGGCCGGATCTATCAAAGGTTTGCGTGTATAAAAACGTGAGCTATTTCACTGCGCACGCTAAAAAATGTACAAACTGATCTATCAACAGCATGCTAAAAGGATTTGGTCTTTAAAACGTGCTAAATAGCGCCTCTTATCCATTTAGTACTTTTTCTGCTATGAATATGCAATATGGGGCGTTTACACGCAAAAGTGCGTCTTGTGGGAGGAGAACATGTAAATATATTAATTTAGCACTCGCAAAGTGATTTATCAAACCTGAAAGCAATTTTGCTCACGGTATCTGACTCTATATTTAACACGTTTAAAAAGAAGGTGCAAATGGTCTATATGCGTAATTGCGCACACATGGCAGCGGTTATTGTAGCAAGAAGGAGACATCGAAATGAAGCAAGGAGACGCAGAGAACGCATTTTTTTCACTCCGTGTGAATATTTTTGGAATGACTGAGGAAACGATCATCAAAACATATCGTTTATCCAGCATTGCCATTTTGGAGCTGTTGGGGGAACTCCGACTGGATTTGGAGCCAGCCACAAGGAGGACCCACGCAATACCAGATATCACAAAACTCCTTGCAACATTGCACTTTTTTGCATCTGGGTCATTCCAGTGTACGGTTGCAGCGAGAGCTGGGATCTCCCAATCTCGTTTTTCAGAAGTGCTGTCCGACGTTCTAAATGCCATGTCGCCCTGACGCCCTAACGGAGAAACCAGACCCCCTGCGCCTGTGGAGCAACATGCCAATGATGCGGGGATGCGCAGTACTCTCATCCACAGTCACCTCCTGTGTGCCATTTGGTATGTGCATTTTTCTACAGGCCAATACAAAACACTAGTTTTTTTTGTTTTTGTTTTTTACTGCAGTGAAGTAGAAATTCAGCCACATACCACCTTAGGGAATAAGGGTCGCCAAAGTTTTATATATATATATATATATATATATATATATATATATATATATATATATATATATATATATATATATATATATATATAAATATTTTCTTTTTGGAGGGGGTGGGGGTGTCACTGTAAGATTTAAATTTCTTAATGCACTAGTTACAAACTACAAACTACTTTGCCGCAAACCACAAAACGCGCAAAACCATCATTTAAATAGGGCGTCTCCAACAGTTTTGCACCTGCCACCAGTTACGCAATCTCTCTTGTTAAATCACCCGCAAACCATGGTTCAGCCCCTCGCGCAAAATTCCAGTTTGCGAGCGCAAATTACTGCACGCAAAATTGGATCTTGATAAATCCGGCCCACAGTGTACAGTGGGTTTGTAAAGTATTCAGACCCGTTTAAAATGTTCATTCTTTGTAAATGGAAGAACTTTGGGAAGACCTGAAGTCTTTCTAGACCTGGCCGTCCAGCCAAACTGAGGATTCGTGGGAGAAGAACCTTGGTCAGAGAGGTAAAGAAGAACCCAAAGATCACTGTGACTGAGCTCAAGAGATGCTGGAGATGAGAGACAGTTCCACAAAGTCAACTATCACTGCAGCCCTCCACCAGTCAGAGCTTTATGGCAGAGTGGCCCGACGGAAGCCTCTCCTAAGTGCAAGACATACCGGTATAAAAGCCTGCATGGAGTTTACCAAAAAAACAAAAAAAAACATGAATAACTTCTAGACTATGAGAAAGAAGATTCTCTGGTCTGATGAGACCATGAACTTTTTGGCGTCAATTCTAAGTCGAGAAAACCAGGCACTGCTCATCACCTGCCCAATACAATCCCAACAGTGAAGCATGGTGGTGGCAGCATCATGCTCTGGGGGTGTTTTTCAGCTGCAGGGACAGGATGACTGGTTGAAATGGAAAGAAAGATTTATGTGGCCAAGTACAGATATATCCAGGAAGGAAACCTCTTCCAGTGCTCAGGACCTCAGACTGGAATGAAGGTTCAAGAAAATGACTTTTACACACAGCTAAAATAACAAAGGAGTGGTTGGTAACAACTCTGTGACCATTCTTGACTGGCCCAGCCAGAGACCTGACCTAAACCCAACTAAGCATCTCTGTAGAGACCTGAAAATGGCGATCCACCAATGCTCACCATCCAACCTGACAGAACTGCCGAGGATCTGTAATAGCAGAGGGTCCTCACATCCAGGTGTGAAAAACTTGATGTATCATTCCCAAGAAGACTAATGAATTTACTAGCTCAAAAGGAGTGCTTCTACTCAATACTGAGCAAAGGATGAATACTTATCTGAATACTTATCACAATGTGATATTTCAGTGTTTCTTTTTCAATAAATTTGCAAAAAAAATCTACATTTTAGTTTTTGTTGGTGTAGATGGGGTGCTAAGTCTACATTTATTGAAAATTAAAATGAACTTTATTGATTTAAACAAATATGTCTATTTAAATATAACATGGAACTGTAATCTTGAATTTAACAGAAAACTAAGGGTCTGAATTTCCTGTTCTTACATTTATCTTTATCAAGTAAGATCATTAATTATGAACTAAGTTTACATCCTTCTTAATCTAGTCTTCTTTATGAATGCTAAACAAAGATTCTCCACATGAGATAAGCCTTAATGATGTAATCACCCTTATTCCAAACATAATAACAACCAGGGTAATATACTCATCCCTTTGCTTGGCCTGAGAAAACCTTGTTAGGTGACATCAGGCTGTTACAGACGTGGATATTGATTGGCTGATTTGCTTTGGTGAAATGAAAGGAGATACTGATTGAATTAATGGAGTGATTACTTAGGCAACGTAAGAAAGAAAGGCAGCCAGATAAGAGTAACAGGGAGATAATTGTTTTAAAAGCAAATAAATATGTTTAGAAGTTTTGATTTTAGATCTTAATATATTCAAGTGTATTAAGATTCATTAAGCCAAATCAGGTAATATTTTCTCATTTTTGGTATTTTCGTCTTTTTTTTCTCAGGATTTCAAAACTTTCCTTTACAACATACTTACCCATACCATGACTCAACCACTGCCATGTTTTACTGAGAGGTTTTTTTTGGGAAATTGTTAATAAAATGTTAGTGTTCTGCGATATAAAAAATAATTAAATATAGGCTAAAAAGTACAGTTTTGTCTATGCATTATGAATGTTGTATAAATTCCCATTCCCAAAATGCTAAAAAAAAAAAAGAAAAAACAAATAAATCTTAAAGTGTAACAATTAAACATCCAGCTGAATTTCTTTCGTATTTTTTGGGGGATTTTCATCTCTGTTGCCCAAAAACTTCAATTATCCAAAAAGGTGGAGGAATAGATTTAAAATAATGGCAAATGTAAAAATGGTTTGTAATGATTACGTATGAGCTCTTTTTAAAGAGTTGATAAATTACCTCTAACCATACCATTCAAAATACATGTTACCTATAATCCTTAAAAAGCTTTTAGGTGTGATTTTATCTATAGGGGAGTTTAATAATCAGTAAATTCGGGTCTCACCTCCAGAGTAAACTGTGCCCAGCTGCAGGTCGCCAGTGTAAGTCCCAATCCGCAGCTTTCCTGTGTTCTTTGTGTACAAAATAAAGGAGTACACTGTTATGTGACTGTGACAATGCACAGTAATAGTTCATCAAAGCACCTATAGCAGACAGTTTTCATACCGTGTCAACTTGTCTGAGCACAGTGCCATCTGCGAAGAACAGTGGTTTTCTGGTATCAACAACAACAAGGTCAAAGTAGGAGCGCCAGGGCTTCTTGGGGCTTCCAGGCTGCAAAAACATAAAAATGTTTTATTCTTTTTGACTAAATTACACCTCCCTTCCATGCACACAGCATATAATATAGCCTTACCTTTGCTTCACCTTCCAGTAGGTACTTCATGATGGCCTAGAGTAAGAAAGGATATAAAAAAAAACATGTTACAGTAAGAGAGTGGACTCATATTTTGTCTCCAAAAACTAGCTTCTTTTGAGCTCACCTCTGTGTAGTTGTAGTCACTGTTAGTGGCCAAGAAAATCTTTGCCACCTCTTTAATTCGAGTCAGGAGCACAGGGATGTTTGGCTGTGGAGGAAACTTGTTTTTTAAAACATTTCATCCATTCTGAGAAATAAAAACATTCACAGAAATGAGCTGATCAAGTATACTTACATCTCTAACAACATATTTGTCCAAGTTTTTGATTGTCTGCTCTTTTAGGATCCCCTATAGGGCACCAAGTTTCATTAATTAACATACTGAGATTTGATAGAAAATGTGCATTATGTTGATTGATGGCTTACTGTATCGTGAATAAAGTCCATTGCGTCTCGAACATCCTGGAACATGCTTCTGTAGGACATGAACAAGTCGCCATGTTGGAAACCTTTCCGCAGGCTGGAAAAAGGTTAATAGATATAGTTTATGTTTGAAATTCACAGGGTTATACATAGGTTGTAGAAAAAAATGAAAGGCAATTTGAGAAGCTCATAAAGATGTTTGCCTACCTGGTGTATCTGGAGCATCGGGTAAAGAAATCAACAAGACAGGCATAAAGATAAGTCTCTGAAGAATGAAAGGGATTGATTAGCTTATATTGCATTATGACTCACAACTATACAAGCAATCTCGAGATTTTTCTTAGCATTTTTTAGATCCTATACATGACAAGATCCAATCTAAATATACTTATTTTTGTCCTTACCTGACAGATTGAAGAGGGTGTTAAGAACGTAAAACCGGTCAGTGTCATCTCTTTGAATGAACTTGTTTGGGTAGTAGAAATCAATGTCTCCCCTGTGCATCAAACCACATAAAATGTTAATATTACTGTACCTAAATAGACTATTAAAGTCCACAAATTGATTGTCTAATATTTTCAGAGTACAGTGGCTTTGTTTTTTTATTCTTGAATTACGATTTGGGCATCAGTAATTATAGTTTTAAAAGTGCTATTATTGTATATAAGGTTAATAAGTCAGAATTGCAGGTTATTTAGTTGATTATCTGCTAGATTGGGTTATTACTTTATTCAGTTGTGGGTTAGGTTGTTAGTAAATCGGGTAAACAGATCTGTTGGTACTTTGAGATAATTTAAATTGTTTTCTAGTTGAGCAAATAATTGGTTGGCAAGTTAAACGGATGATTGTTTTGTTAGTTTGGTGATTGGCTGATTTGTTAGATTGTCCGGAGGCGACAGCGGCGTAGGATGCAGGAATTTGTCCTACAACTGGAGGGATGCCGGTTTGTACCCTGGTTCCAACCGTCTCTTTCACTGTGTCCCAGGAGGTCAGCTACAATGTACAGTAACTTTCTGGTGTGTGAATGGATGGATGACTAAACTTAGTAGGGCTGAAACAATTAATCCGATTAATTGTGATTAATGGATTATTAGAAATAATAATCAACTAATTTAGTATTCGATTAATCATTAACTGGAGCATAGAGACTCTAGATCATGTCTTTAGCGGACAGAGCAACCCAATTAGAGCAGTAATTAAATCAACATTGTAAAAAAATACATAGAAATTTTGCATTTAAGATGAAAAAACCTTTTTGTCTGTCAATATACTCTATCCAGAACTCCAAAACTGGAAAAGTTTTTGTTTCACCTGGTTTAATTTCATAAAAAAAAAAAAAAACTTCTTTAAGGAACCTTTAGCTGTCTGATTAATAATTGATTAATCGAATAAATAATCAACAGATTAATCGATTTGTAAAATAATCGTTAATAGTTAATTTAGTTAAGCTCTTTGGAAACCCTTGACTGAAAGGCTGCGTTAGAATTACAGGTTATTTACCTTGGTTAAAAAGTCAGTTGGGTGTTTTTTTTTTTTTTTTGGTTTGCTTTAATTAGTTGATTTAATGATTTATTAAGTGACTGAATTACTTATCGACTAAATGTGTTTAGATTTAATGATTGATTAGTTGGCTATTTGACTGATTATTTTGTTTTTCTGTTTTTTTTTCTTTATCATTTATGAATTAAATCTTGACTGATAGATTTTTTTCTAGACTGATTCTCAATGATACATTGAATTTACTAATTATACAGTCAACAAATAGTTTTTGTGAATTTTTCCAATGTATCTGGTATTTTAAAGAATAGTTCTGTTTATTCAGCTTGGTATCGATGATCTACATGTTTCTGATTAAAGAAAAAAAAAAAGCGAAACAGAACCCCATGCCAACATTACTGTTACTTAACATGACTTTGATCTTACTCTCTAAAGAAGCTGAAACCATGACTGCAGACTAAGATGTTGCCGTTGGAATCCACCTTCAGCAGGTTCCCTAATGTGGTGTCTAGGACGATTCCACTAAAAAAGAAAAAAAAAAAAAGTGAAAAGAATCAATATTTCACTTGGTAATCAAATAAAAACATGATTTGCAATTTTTTTGAACAAACAAATGAAGCATTTGGTAAGAAGACTGACCGAGTGGGAAAACTGGGGTCATATGTGTAGCGGAGAAGCTCATGAGGGTATCCAACTGAAACCATTCTGTCTCTTAACAGCTCAAAGCCCATGCTCTCATAGTCAGGAGATTTATACACTAGAAACAGAGAAGCACAAACATGATTGCTATTTAACCAGGAAATCTGTCATTTCGAATCTAGGTGTTTTCGCCTTATACTGTCCTTACTTGCCAGTGTGTAGTCCATGTCAAAGCCATAGCACTTGATATTTTCCAGTGTCAGACTTCTGTTAACAAAAACCCTGTAAATAAGAAATAATAAATATGGTTAAGATATGAACAAAGTAAGAAACATGTTATGCTGTTCCTTGATGACTTGATGATTTTTTGTTGTTTTTTGTTTTTTTTTCAGAAGGAGACAAGTCAAATTATCAAGCCAACATGTTTACCTTCTTTAAATATCAAAAGTCAAACTTGTTTTGCATTTCCTGACCTAATTAACTGTGTCATAGTTTTAAAAATCTGGTTTGATTTATTCTCAGATATTCTAACTGGTTTACTTTTAGAATAGCCCAGTATTAAATGCTACACTGATTCTTCTTTCCATATATTCTCAACAGTTTCCCTAACCCTTAATAAATGAATGTATCTACACAGCATGATGCTGCAACCACCGTGTTTCAAGGTGGCTTCTGTGTTCAGCATGATGAGCGGTGTTAGTTTTCTGCCACAATAATAACAAGCAAGCTTTATGGATTGTGATAAAGGTAAAACTTGTGAAATGCTTGAATTTCAATGTAATAAAGTTAGAATTTTTTACTTTTTTCATCATTTTGATTTGCTGATGATTTAAATTGCCTTTTAAGCTCTTGTACCCCAATCAGGTGTTTGAAATGGGTGGAAAAATAAGAGTTTATGCAGCTTCCAGCCAGTGATGTATCTGAGGTCCCGATTGCTCCCTTAGCCTTTCCTGAAAATCCATACTCTTACTGGACAGATGGCCTACATTTGTTGGTTTCTCTTAAAATGATCCAAGCAAATTTGCACAGGCAGATTGCTCCCTGTTTTTGTTGCGGGAGCTCTCACTGATTGGGGGGCAACGGAAGTGCCTGGCTGCTGACTCAATCATTTTGTCACAGGATGCAAGTTTTACCCAAACAAGAAATATATATCAGAAATCTTTTAAGAGGTTATTATTTAAAGATCTGCTATTTAAGCAAAAATAAATGAAAATGCCTTATTCTAATGTCATACATGGGTTATAACTGCGCAGTGTTATATTAATGTTGCAGAAGTAGAACTCACTTTTTGTCAATGTCCCTCTTTGCCATTTTCTCCACAAGGTGAACGTAGGGAGATTTGTCCATCGCGTCCTCAGAGGAAGCTTGCGGTTGGTTAACTGTGGTCGATAGCTACTCTCTAACGCCTCAGACAGCTTTAAATGGCCAAAGTTACCCAAAAGTTGTGGGTTTTTTTCTTCTTCTTTTTTGTTTACGTAAGCAGTTGACTTTGTGCTTTTTTCTTTTCTTTTTTTTTTTCAAAACCAATCCAGCATCTAGCAATTGGCCACACGCCTTTGCTCTGCGGTAGTTCCAGCTCTGAGCGTTTAGATTATGTTATCAGGAGCGCACACATGTGCCCAGGCTGCGTGTGCGTGCGTAAATAGGTGGGAGTTCCCTCGATTATTGTCGACAACACTCTGACCCAAAAGAGCTCAATTAGTTCCATCAACATAGCAGAACATTTGAGATATTTTGATTTGTCATCTATTTGGCTCTGTATTATATTGTTGACGCAGTGACGAAACTGCCTCAAACTTTCAAGTATTTTTCTGTTTATTATTATTATTATTTTCAGTTTTTTTGTGTGCCAAACAAACAGAAACATTACAACTGTAACATGTCCACTTCATGAATCTTAAAAGTGTTCTTTGCATTTTCCAACCCACACAGGGTCAGCACTGGAAAAAAAACTAAATCCAGATAAGTCTTTTTTTTTTTTAAATAAGTACATTTATTCTTGAATTCAGAATTGCAATATCTAATTATCTTATTTTAAGAGTAAAAAGATATATATATAGATATATATATATATATATATATATAGCTATATATATATTCACATATATATTCACATATATATTCACATATATGTTCACATATATATTTACATATATGTTCACATATATATGTATATATTCCCGTGTTTGTACTTTTGGGGACCGAAGGCTCTTCCTAATGAGGCGGAACCCCATTTTTACCTTAGAGAGTCAGTTTAGAGGTAAGGTGTGAATTAAATTTAGATTAAGTTTGGGGTTAGGAATGTATTGCTAGGGTTAGGATAAATCTCCGGCCATAAATGCAATAAATAAAATGACCGTAAGCCAATGTAAAGTCTTAAAGTCATTTGGATAGAAATTCAAACGTAAGCGTATCTGTTCTTTTTTTTAAACATTGGCCCATTTTCTGGAAAAATGGCATGTTGTGGGAATTGAGTTTAGCTTGGTGTTAGGGTTAGGAACATGCAACGGTTAGGTTTAGGGTAACAGTCAATGTTAGGCTGTAGAAAGTCGATGGAAAGGCCTTGCAAAGATAGTGAGAGAAGCTAGTGTGTGTGGGAGTGTTTGTATATACAAATCTGCAGAAAGGCCCCCAGTTGGCAGAGGCAATAATATTTTCTACAAGCTTCCTATTAGAGCTTAGAGAGAGGTAGTAAGATACCAATGAATTTCTTGTGACTCCCCCCATGCGAGGAGAAGACACCCCTGTGTCTTCTCAGGTCACAAAGAAGTAGAGGTGGGTGCTTATCGTAGCGTTTATCGATATCTGGATACGTTTCTAGTAATGATTCATGACTTATTGTCTAAAAAATTAATTAGAATCGATGGAGATTACAAATTCCAGAAACTGGGTAAATAGTCAGAATTTTGTTTTACAATATTTCTCCATTTTCTTAAAAAAAAATTTAAACTGGCAAATAGAAAACTTTGAAGAATATTATTAAATACATGTAATTATGAGATATTTAGTGATATAAATCCTACATTTTATGTAACCGGTGTTCTGAAGAAACTAATTTTAAATGTGCATATTCTTAAAGAATATTATTTGTGATTTTAGAGCTATGATTGCTGTGATAAGCAGTCTAAGACATAGAGCTACCTAGGAAAGACTGCAAAGAAGTCAGATTTTTGTTTTTATCATAACTTTTTTCAATATCACGGTAATATCACCCAATATTGTAACAATATTTTATGTGCATATTGCCCTGCCCTAAGAAGCAGGGGTATCTTCTAACATCAACAACCAGATACTAGCTTCCTATTAAGTGCACGTACTTAAAGGCAATATAAAACATTATTTTTTTTAATGTTTTTTTTACACATCCCCCCTCAATGGTGCTGATCTGCACAACTGGCCACATGGCCCACATAATCGAATACCTTCGGTTGGATTAGATTGACCTATTAAAAGTGAACCTCTATATATTTCTCCATAAATTCTCATCAGTTTTCCTATCCCTACTAAAGAAAATCCCCAAAGGATGGTGTGGCAACCCCCATCTTTGACCATGCATTCAGTGTATTTAGTATTTAGTATGACTTCTAATGGATTTTTATCAAATATAGCTGTTTTAAGCACTCTTCTATGAGGACCGCACTTGTTGAGCTCATTTCTAATAGTTGTCAACAGATTCTCTTACCTGAGCTGATTATCTCTTTCAAGGATTGCAGTGATATTGTAACCTTTATATTTATGTGTTTTAAAGGAAAAGTCCGGTCAGCTAAGAATAATCAATGGCTCATTATCTATACGTAAAACTAACACATTTGCTGTGATTTAATGAATTTAGTGTTAATCAGTAAAAACATAAAAAAATAAATTTTCATCTAGATCACTGAGTCAGGGAGCGGCCATTTTTGCCCAAATACAGTAACACCTTACTCCTGACATCTTCAAGCAGTGAAGTCACGGTGCCATAAGCTGAAGGTCATTCTCCTCGCTTTACAAGCAAAATCAATGGAAACTACTAGACACAGAGGCGCACCTTGTCAACAGGCAAACCAAGCAACTGCTTGGAGCCCCGAGCCGCTGGGGGGCCCCCGAGAGCCAGCTACTGTACACCCGGTAGATACAGCAACAGGCGAGCATGAAGTGGCAACGCTATAGTGACTGAAGAGATGCACAACTGCATATAAAAATTCCGATTGGATGGAATGTTGATTGACATTGGCTTTGCCCAGTCAAAATCCAGCCTTGCCCAGCCCAGGTGGATGACTTCCCTTAATGAAAATGAACGTAGCCTAGCGAATGGGTGACGTTGTAGGCCTATCGTTCAGTAAATTGGAAAGCAATTATGTAACTAAGCTGAAGGAAAATGATTCATTTTCCATGTCTCAAGAGAGACTTTCAGGACTGGCGTTTATTTCTATAGAGTATAGCGTGCGAAGGTCTTTGGATCTGGAGGACTTAGGCCCCGTCCACACGAAGTCAAAACGAACACGAAACGCTAATATTTTCCAGAACGTTTGTCGTAAAGACGGAGACGTAAAATAAATGTGATCGACCACACGAATGCATGAAAACGCTGCAAAATGTATGCCAGGCCTGTAAGTGGCGCTGTGGTGCCAAAGCAAAAATTGGCAACGAAATGTTGGGCATGCGCACTTATATTTATACATGGTTGCCCTGCGGGTCCATTTTCGTGGTTCAGTCAAGTTCAGGTGCTGAACTATGTCGTCGATATTGCTCTGTTCTTCCTGGAGATATTCCAGAAGAAGAAGATTCTGTTGTAAGCAGGGTGAGTAGCATTAGCAGCAACCATTCAACACAGTACGGCGCCATTGTTGTTGCGATACTGTGTCGCGCATGCGTGTTTAGAGGCGACGCTATGACGCATGCGTGTAAAAAAAAAATGCGGTTAGAGCTTAAAGATGGAAACGCGAAAACGGCGTTTCAAAATCTTCGCACTCTGAAGGCTTAATAAAAAAACGATTGTTTACAGACCCCCGAAACGCCGGCTTCGAATGGATGAGAGGCTGGTTTGGTGAAAAATTTGTGCATTTAGGCCAGGGTTCGGCTTCGTGTGGACGGGGCCTCAGTGTCTGCATTTGCACAAGCCAAGGCCCGTAAGCAACAATTCTGGAAGCAGTATAGGACCCCAATAATTTCACTACACTTACTATACTTTATATTTTGCACAACGTTTATATTGGGTATTTAAAGTAATTTACTGTGTTTTTTTTATTTTATTATACATTTATTTTAATGTATTAGTTTATTCTTTACTTTTATTCTTTTATATTTTCCAAAATAACAAGGTTGTTCATGTTTAGAACATTTGGAATAAAAAAAGTTTTATTTAATACATTTTTCTTTGGTGTCAGATTATTTATAGCCTAACATAATGGTGATGAACACTCGTCAGTAGGGCCCCCTAGAATTTTTTGCTTGGGGCCCCCACAGACTCTAGAATCGCCTCTGACTAGACACATCTTGAATAAAAACAATAATTTAAGATTTTGAGAGGAGTTCACCATTGAAATTCGCGAGAGCTATAAATAAACTGACAATGCCCACGTGCATGGCAGTTGGATATTGTAATACATTTGGTAAAAGTGAAAAAAAATTTGTTATTTCACCTTTCCGATTCATGATCCTCCACAATCGTTGGATTGCCACATAATATATAGCCAAGAAGAATGCTTTCAAGATGACTTGGGACTTGAACAACAGCTGATACCACACTGTGACATCACAAACCAGTAGGTCACAATAGTATTGTTTTTTTTTTTGGTGTTTTATGGCACTAGTGGGTCGTTTTTTCGGACAGTAGGTCGACAGGAAAGGGGGAATGAGAGGCGGGAGAGACATGTAGCAAAGGACCGCACAGATCACATTTAAACACGGGTCGGCAGTGTCGAAGACACCGCTACTGCCACCAAAGTATGCCTGGCAGTAGTGTTCTTTGACACACATGGATGTCTCCAGTAAAGCACATTCAAATGAAATTACTCTTAATTAAAAATCTTTAATTTATTTAGCAGTATGTAATAATATATATATTTAAAGTACTTTCAGAAGTTTCAGTTCTGAATATGACCGGACTTCTCCTTTAAACTGAACTCTGAGAGTGTGGAGCAATGAAAATTGCTTTCTAGCCTAACCACACCTTAAACCTCTCTACAACTACAACCCTTATCTGCAGCTAATCTAGGTCTCCATGATGCTGTTTGTTCAGTAATTTTACTTAACAAACCTCTATAGCCTTGAAGTAAACAGCTAGGTAAAACACAGGGGGATTTTTTTTCACCTGCAGGCAGTTGCACTAGAAATGAGAATGGGTAAAGTGTGTTTTTTGTTTCTTGTAGAAAAAATAAAAGGAAAGTGTGCCTCACACCTTTTAACCATTTCAAAGGTATTTGAAATAGTCACTTTACATTTCAGTTATTTTATTACACATATACACCATGGTTTCATTATAAAGAGTACTATTTGTCCAAACATACCACTGAAGGCTCAATGGAAGGAAAAAGATCTTTATATGTAGAAAATAATTATTAATGTTCCAGCCGCTGTAAGTTTGTGGGGATATGTACCTTTATTTGCCTTCATCGTGTTAAGTTATACTTCAAGCACATATGTACCATTCTTTTCAAAGCACATGAGAAGAGATAAGGTTAGACACAGCTGCGAGAAAAGAGCCTTTTCTTTGTCCTAAAAATAGTCACAAAAGTTTAACTTATTGCTTTGCAGACCATTCAGATTCTTCCACACAAGCCTTGTTCATCCATGGTTCATGCATTGCACAATTGTGCACAGTCATGTTGAAGAAAAAACAGGGCATTTCCAAACTGTTTCCACAAAGTTCTAAATATGAAAGTGTCCACAATAAAACATTTGAGCAAAAAAACTGAACCCAGCTCTTAAAATACCGTCTCACGCCATACAATCCCATGTCTGCTCCATGTTTCACATTTGACAGCATCTAGTATTACAAGTGCTGTTCTTCTGACAACATATAAATCCATACTGGCCCAGTGGATTCCCAGACAAAGAGGCAGAATTTGTGACTCAGGAAAACATGGCTCCACCGATCGGGAGTCAGTGTCATGGTGATTTATACCACTGAATCTGGAGCTTTGCCAACCTGCTTTTGTGTTTAACCGCGTCCATGGCCGTAATGCCGGTGTTTAAACAAATATTCTTGATGTAGTTTATACAAACATATATTGTGCGCTTGTAAAATTGCCTGTGAATAAATAAAGAGATCTGGATTAAGTATTTTTGACAGATGAAACCAATGTTTAAATGTTTGGTCATTAAACACATCAACACATGCATTTCCTGCAAGCTATCAAGGATTGTGGTGAATATTAGGATTTTGGCTTATGTTACAGCCAGAGGACCTGGATATTTTTGCAGTCTTTGAATTAACCACATACTCTGCATTTTAGAGACTGTTTAGTAAATCATAGAGCAAAATAAAGACATCAGGTCAATGTGTTACAGTGGCAAATCTAAATCCAAGTTTGGAAGTCATGTTTTTTACTCAAAGTCTGCTTGTCACTGTTCCATTTTTTTTTCCTACTACACTGTGGAGCTTTTTATCTCTGTTACTTCTTCCTTGTGGTGTACTTTCAGCTAAGAAGGCTCATCTAGTCCTACCCATGTGTACTTTAATGGCGTGTCCCCCATTTCCTCTTGAGAACCTTTACTTTTTTTTTTTTTCAACATATTACCTGTATTTCTGTCCTAAAATCCACCAAACATGAAACGTGATTGAAACATGATGGGATCTTCCAGATAAGTTAATGCGTTCAGACCTCAGTGATGATTCCTCCAAAGGTGTGTCAAAATAAAATGTGTTTCCCATGGTATAGCAAAAAATAAATGATTATTTTATGTGGATTTAGAACCACAAAATTTGTCTCAGCTTCTATATATTGACAAGAATAAATTATGAATACTGTTTGATATTTACATTTAAACAATGCATTAATTTTTTAATCAAAGAACTTCGTCACACTATACACATATGCCGCTACATTTAAACTGGCCTTGCCTTGTTTTACCCTGAACATGTGGTCTGATTTTTATTGGCCTGAGAAATCTACAAATATCTGCTTATATTTAATCTCTATTACACTGAACTGTAAATCTAAAATTATTGCACTTGTGGTTGAGTTTTAAGCCAACCTCTTCCTGTATCATAATTTGGTCTGTTGAACTTTGATTTCACAGATCCCAGATGACTGTTTCTTCTCTGAGGCCTTGTCTTTACTGTGCATCCTGTCAAACTCAACAGATATCTCCAGCGCTGTTCGATTTTTGGTCTCTGGCATGTTGAACCTCACATGGATCCCACAGATGAGGCAGGCAGCCAAAAATATAAGGAAGCAAAAATTACCCAGATTCTCCTGGAAAACGTTTCATTAATCAGTTAATTAACAGTCAAAGTCATCTGGACCTCAGGTAAGAAGGTGTACAGTTTAATGAAGTGATACTCACCACTAAGATGGGGAAAAGTACCCCAAGGACAAACAGGCAGATCCAGTTAATAGTGCATCCGACTGTGTATCCGGCTGATTTAAATGACTGAGTTAAAATTTCCCCTGGAAGAGGCACTGTCGTTGCAGCTTAGGATCAAATAACAGAATAGGAGAAGATGTTACAGCAAGATTGTATTTCAGAGGAGTGCGAAATCTGCTTGAACATTGTAAAATACACATACCAGGTCCACTGGAAAAGAAGAAAATGAAGAGGAAAAAAAGAACCATACTGCAGTAAGGCATCCACCAGAAACTTTTCTGCAGAGAACAAGAAAAAAATCTTGTCATGTCACACAGATTAAATAAATAACAAAGAAATACGCATTAAATATCAAATGTTTTAGAAGCTCACCTGAAAATAAATAGTGACTGTAAGAACGCCCATAGTTGCAGCCATTCCCATGTAACCTCTGAACAGCAAGACCTTTTTGCTCATACTCTCAATTATCATGAACTGCAATTATAAAGGAGATTTAAGAGCTCCACGCAATACTCAGCTGTCACAGCAAGGAGTTCAGTGACCACATGGGGGCCCTGTTTACACACATGTAGATAGAATAGTTTCAAATGAAACGAATGAGTTTGATATTTTAAAGGAAAGCTGTTGGTTTTTAGATTTACCTTTACTAAGTTATTCCTTTTTTTAAAATTAATAGGCCAATATCAGTAAAAGTGAACTTACACACACTATAGAGGTGGAAACTTCACACAAGCCTGTTCCCAATGCAGCATATGCCAACTTGTTTTCTTTGATTCCTGCAGTTCGAAATACATCAAAAGAGTAAAAGTACACCTAAAAAATAAACAAAACAAAAACACACACATATTTTAAACCCCTACAATTGATTTAGAATATATTTTTCTTGACAGGGCCCAGAATTGGCCAATTTTAGACTTGACCAGCAAATCATTGATCATCTAGTCAGTGATATTTTATAGATAGTCAGTAGTTGTTGCGGAAGTCGTTGCTAAAGGAAGATGTATTAGTAAGACGTTTTATAAAAAGTTTAACAAAGTCATAGGATTGGAATTAGGAGGGTTCAAGACAGTTGATCTGTTTTACCTTTTATAAAACTCCAATTATGTCTGTCATGGATGATACTGGATTTCGAAATGAGAGAGATATTTTATGGTAAAATAAGAAAATAGATGAGAAAAAAAATATGATCACAAGGGCAAAAGACAGTCTTGAATATTACATCTAATTTAGTATACGGTAAGTCTTGAAATAATATTGAAATGCTGTTTAACGTTTAACCATCTATGAAATTTTTATTTCAAAGAAAATAATAAAAAAGCAACTTTGGAGATTGTCAGGATCTACCGATGACTCTGCAACCAATAGATGAACAGCAGCAAGGTCATCTCATAGCTTCCTCCCATCATAACATTATATGTGAAGTCATTAAAATCAATAATTTCTGTGTTAAATAGCAAATTCTGTTCGATGCAAATGTTGTAAATTTAACACTCTTAAATGCAACCAGACGCAAAACAAGCTAATCTGGCCCTGGAAGAAGAATGCAGGCAAGAGAAGGTGAGAGTGGGAAGCATAACTTCACAACTGCACAACTTCCAGATGTTTTATTTTTTTATCATAATTCAAGTTATGTTTTCTTCCCAGTCAGATTAATTCCAATTCTCACAAATACTGCTTCAACTAAAACAGTAAAAACACTTGGCAGAGAAGTCAAAACTAATATAGATGTGTAATGCCAACTACATTTTTAAACACACTGAGGGATGCCACTTTTGGCTCAAATGTAAATAATTTATGACCATTTGTCAAAGGCTCCCTTGCATTTAGAATAAATGATTAAACAGCCTAAAACATAACCATATATGTCAAACTTTGCCTCTGAAATATTAGGAAGGACATCGCTGTAATTTACTACAAAAGATTTTGTTGTAAAAATAAAAAACTCCTGAGAGATGCTGTCAGGAATGCAAAAGAAAAAAATATAGCAATGACTTTGTAAGCCGTAATCCTTCTTGTAAGAGAGTGAATTTAATATGCAAAAGTTTCTTTTATATTTACTTATAGTTAAATTTGCCAAATTAACTGATGCTATTTCTCCTTTTTACTGATTTAGAAACAAAAACTTTAAATTGAGATTGTTACTGTAAATAAGGCAGCTTAATTTTACTATATATTCTTTATTTTTAAGAAGGCCCAAATGATACTTTTTACACAAAGTAGATCCTTTTTATTTATGTTTATTTACAAAACGAAAAGTTTGGCAAAATTTGTGATTAGTGAAGTCAGTGAAGTAAACAACTTTATGCTTTAAAAGAAGAACAAATATAAAAACGACTCATTGCATAGAAAGCAAATCACTATAGGCTGAGTCACAGCTAATTGTATCAAACAGAGTTTAACTCACAGCACTGATGCCATTTAGCTGCAGTGCAGCGAAAGCAATAACAATGGTGAGGAGCTGCCAGCGAACTCTTCGGTTCTGAATTAGCTCCAACACGGAGCAGTTTCCTATACCCTGGATTGCTGCTTTCTCCTCCAGCATCTCCTCGACTTCCTTGGTATAGTCTTTTTTACCCCATAGTTTCCTAAAAGCTATGCAGGAATAAAAAAAATAATTGCCTTTATATCCAACTGATGTTAAATACTAACACAGTCAATCTAAAATTGTATTCTTTGTCAGATTATTTAAGGAAAAGATCATGGCATATCAAACCCTTTTCAGCAGCCTGCAGGTTTCCTCTCTCCAGTAAAAGGAACCTTGGAGACTCTGGTAGGAGAGGCAGGGTGCAGAGCTGGAGGAATGCAGTGAAACCATTGAAACTAAGCAGCCACGGCCAATTCTTCTCTGAGCCAAGCAACTCTCTGTATAAGGGGAAAACTGACTTTGAGATGATGCAAGAGTCCAGCTACTGTATACACACTAGCTTTGCTTAAAATGCAAACTCCTGAAAATCGTTAACAAGCCACTGGAATGCATTCTTTTAATCAGTTATAATGAATCAGTTAGGAGGACTGGGGTAGAATTTTCAGAAGTTGATTTACTTAACATTTTAAACTAATGTGGAAAGTATGTTAGTCATCAAAATTAAAAGGTTTGTAAAAACCTTAGCATAGAGTTGTAAATAAATATACATTTATCATATATAGTCATGAAAAAAAGGCACCACAGATTCTAATATGTTGGAATATATTAAACAAAAGTGAAGCCAAAACGGAAGAGTTTGTTAAAAATAGCTTCAGTCACAAAACACAAGATAGAGCCAGTGTGTAAAAAGGATGATAAACAGGGTGACACTATGAAATATAAAGATGATGAAAATGTGGCTCAATGTATCTTTTGTTAATAACTGCATAGAATTTAAAAAACAGCATAAAAATACTGATTCAAGAAATATAAACGTTTTTGTAGTCATAGGTCATATATAACATTTTCTATAGATGTGATATTCAAGAAAATGCACATGTACATGCCTGCATTGTGAAGGATGCTAACCTCTGCTTTTTGCTGTGTATTGATGTGAATTCAGCATGTTGAATGTAAACACAAATTTAGATGAATTCTTTATCTGTAATGCCTCTGAGATAAATTTGTGATTCACTCAATCTTCTAAAGATTATGTCACAAAGAAAACAGTGTTTTTCTGACTTAGCCATAAATAAATTCATTGACTTTTTAATGATAAATTATACATATTCATATTCTAAGATCTGACATCACAACAACTATCAACTCAGTCAGAGTTTCAATGTGACAACATTGCATTAAACACTGACAATAATAAAGTTTAGCCTAAATAATCACACAACAAGTATTTAAAATACTTCCACGCTCTCTATGCATTATCAACTGGTAGTATTTATAAGTCTTAAGTAGTATTTTGTCTGTGGTCTTTTAGCCAGCAGTCAGTGGTCATCCAAGGAGAAGGAGAATCACACGTCTTTCTAAAGCGTTACCTTCCCAGGTGACAAGAAAGGGTCATTCTGGTTCTGCAAAAAAATTTGCCTCACCTACAGAGATGGGACGTAACGAAGTACAAATACTTCGTTACTGTACTCAAGTAGATTTTTCTGATATTTTTACTTTACTACTTATTTTTATGGCGACTTTTTACTTCTACTCCTTATATTTTTACACAAATATCTGTACTTTCTACTCCTTACATTCTAAAAAAATTGGCTTGTTACTTTAGTTTTGAATCATTTCAATGGAGTTACCGTTATTATTTTTCACGTCATCAATACCAAATTGAATCTAATTGGATGGGAATCTAAGTTGCATTTGACGCACCACTACAAGATGAATCGACAGATTCGGCGGTATTCATTTGCGGCAAATCATTGCAGCTTGGTGGCGGTGGCGTTAGCATAGTAGTATGGACGACGAGATGATTGAAAATTAACACAACAGAGATCTAGTCCTATTAGCAGACATCCATTTAAAATGTAGGCAACGGCATGAAAAAAGTGGTTTCTACTTTTACTTTTATACTTTAAGTAAATTTACAAGCCTGTACTTTGTTACTTTTACTTGAGTAAAGAAGTTTAATCAGTACTTCCACTTTTACCAGAGTATTTTTTAACACAAGTATCTGTACTTTTACTCAAGTACGGAAAGTGAGTACTTTTGCCATCTCTGCTCACCTATCACTTCACCCTTATAAACTTTTACTTTAAAAATTCCCTGCAAGGTGAATACCTGCATTATTTGTTTTTTCACAAACACACAAGAATTTATCTTGTACAGTCCCAGCTTAAACTGTTCAAGACCTGAAAATGTGTTAGCCAATCATGTTGCAGTACTGTGATATAATGCACAGGAGGATGTATGCATAGCTGCTGCTATTACGTCTGGTTTGTCAGAATTAACAGTTTCCTCTTTGAAAGAGGAACAGCACAATAACATACTTTATTGGACTTTCTCATGGCCTCTGCTGCTATTTCATTCATAACCATGATTGGCTATACTCAAATCTTAATCAGTAGAAGTTATGACAACTCACCTGATTCCTAGCAACTGACCACAAAACTTTCCGAAGGATAAGAAGGTTGCAATGGTGACACCAACCATTCCTTTCAGCTTTTTTGGTGCAGATTCAGTGAGATACATGGTTTGAGCTGAAAGACCGACCCCTGTACACAAAAACAAATAGTAAGACATGATTACTATTTACAGGCACACTACAGCTAGTGGTGAACAAAAGCCGAATTCTAAGTTGGATTACCTGAATTGATCCCATAGAGAAATCTCCCCACGATTATCATCTCGAAAGAAATGGCTGTTCGACTCAAAAGCATCAATATGGCTCCAAATATAGCCAAAAAATTATTTAACAGAAGACAACGTTTTCTGAGGGAAAACAAATGCCAGTGATCTCTGCACCATCAACAACGCAAAATAACCACACTGTAACTGTATACCGACCTGCCAAATCTGGAGGTGAGTGGACCGGCCATCAGTGATCCAATTAATCCCCCAATGCAGAATATGGACACTGTGAAAGACCAGATGAGCGAGACCTCCCACTCCTCCAAGATCCGGTCATATCTGTGCAAACAACTTTCATTCACCATCTCCTTTATAAACTACAATAAGGAAACACACAGGTATTCATCGGTTAAATGCATAGAAAATTTACCTTTTAATATTGTTTTAAATTTCACATATAAAAAACATATCGATACACTCTTTTAAACCATCTCACTTACAGCAGAGGGGGATGTCATCACAGAAACACTGAATCCATATTGAAAGGTCCCCCCGATGCTGCAGATGAAAATGGCAGCAATGAGGACGGGAGAGTCTAGCTGCAAATACACACACACACAAAAATATTAAGCAAAACTGAACTGTTTTGATCAAAATGTAATGTTCAAAAATAGTTGTTTCAGCATTAAGAGGGAAAAGACAATCAGTGAGGAAAAAAACATGACCGTCTCCTGATGCGAGGGAAATCACAATGACTATAGGTTGTTAGATAAAATAAAAAAACTTTTATGAAGTGAAATTCCCATAAGAAATGTAAGAACAAAAGATTGGTTGAGAGCAAACAATAAAATAAATGAATTTGGATCTTTTCAGTTCCTCTTTTTCTACAGCCTTAATTTACTATATTTTGTACACCAACAATGTCACTTAGTTCTTATGCAACACCAACCCTTCAGTGCAAAGTGTAAGTAAAAAAAACTGTCTGAAACCATGCTATACCTTACCAAATGTATGTATAAAGCACTTTAAACACCCAACAAAAATAAGGTGCGATACACAATCATAAGATACAAATAGTCAATCATAAAAAATAGATAAAGTGGTATATATATAAGTATTAATGAAATAACAAGCAGTAATAATATAAGAAAAACAGTAGACAAAAGTCAAGGTAAAGAAATGGGTATTATGAAGAGATTTAAAATCAAAAAGTGAAGAGTCATTCCACTTTTAGGAGCTGTGACAGAAAAAGCAGGGTCCCCTTTGAGCTAACGTTTTTTTTTTTTTTGGTACCCTCAGTAACAACTGCAAAAGAAAAATGTTTTTTTAGAAATAACTTACGAGGAGCGTCAAATGTTGTGGCATGGTTGGAGTCTGTTGTGTGTCTTCTCGTTTCACTTGCTTTCTTTGAGTTTGTGTTGTAACTAGGTGCTGAAATTATTAACTTTTGTTTTGGGACAAAATGACATGACATTCATTTCTTCAGCCGGTCTACACTTGTGAGGAAAAAAAGAAACCACTCTGAGCAATTTCTCTGTCTTAAAATGTAGAAAACTCCTCTCAATTCAGAACCAACAACAAAGGAAAAAATGGTTCAGGATCAGCCACGAACGCAGCGCACCCCAGGCCCATCAGGCTCACCTCAAAGATTCTCCATCTTTGAGGTGGGAAACCACAGTAAGCTACAAAATACATTTTAAAATGAGAAATTTATATATATATATATATATATATATATTTATATTGTCATTTCACTGTCTGTGTACTGCTCCAGGCTGATCCGCACTCCCTATTGGAGCAGCACTTTAGAGAGAGAGAGATTAAGGAATGGAGGAGGGAAAGAGATGAGGTGGAGTGTTGGAAAAACAGTGTAGACAGACGTATGATGTGAGGAGCGCATTTCAGAGCACATTTTTATGTTTGTTAGAAATATCATTCAGTAATGTTCTGACAAATAAACATTTGATCATTCATTAGCAATCAGATTTTCATTCTAGTTTTCTCTACTTCAGGGTAAAGATTGTTCAGGAGGTAAACAAACAGCATTTTGTACGATCATGGGGGGCTACTGTAACTCTAAATTTATTAAACATAAACACTAAAAAAGTGCGTTTATAAATGTTCGGTTTCCATTTGTAGGTTTTACTGTCCTTTCATCAATACCAGGGGTCCGTCTCTGCTAAAAAGCCAAAAGTTTGACCCAGTTAAGCCCTGATTTAATCCCATAACATTTAAATTCATCAAACAGATCCGTTTAACCTGTGATGTTAATTGAACCCAAATCTTAAATATTACATATCTAGTGTTTTTTATCATTCCCTCTTATTTGTTTAAAGAATTAAAGTAACTTCTAACTCCATTGACTTTTATCATTTAACCAACCCTGTTATAGTCAACCTTTTTACTCACTACACCATCATACATTTATGTTTTAAACAACAGATATTTGACTAATATTTGTTGAGGATAAATAGAAAACATGAAATCATTACCTTGAAGTGTATTTTCAGCTGGCACAAAATGTAGCCACGTTCTACAAAACATTATAACTTAGAACCAGATCAAATAAACCTGTAAGATCTTTTACACTAGAAAGAAATTATAAAAATGCAACTGGGAGAATTTGTTTAAGTATCTCTAAGAGCTGTACAGGTGCTAAAAAAGACAAAAGATTTTTTGGGGGCATAGTTTCTTGCAGCCTGAGAACCTAAAGCACACCGAACTTGGAAAATAACCCCTCAAAAAGCACTTGAGATATTTAAAAAGCAATCTCCTTACATCTGTAAAGCCGCAGCTGTGGGGTTAGTCTTTCAGAGGCTCTGCCTGAGTGAAACAACTTATTCAGGTCTGGGCAGGAAACATCATTTGTTATGGAAAGCTCTGTGTTTACACCTTGAAGCTTTCTTTCTCTGGTTGTTTTCCTGAGAAGGGATAACTCTTTAAGTAACCCTTCATAATGTATATGTATTAAATAACCATGAGACATGACATGGGATTTGGACAGAAATTGTAATCTTACTCAGACAGAGAATTTGCTTAGAGTTACAGAAGGCAATTCTTACCAACCGGGCCAAAATACCAACTAAACCAAAATCACAGTTTAAGAAGCATTTTATACAACTCCAGTATGCCACATCATGACATCATAGACGTTTGTAGATGAGGAGACTTCCATGGCTCCAGCCTTATCAAAATATTACTCCATGTTTTTAGATCAAGGACACTGCTCTCCTTCCATTCCCAATCTACTGAAGATGACCTTTCATCCTGACAGAGGAACTGTCCTAATAAGATAAACTACTTGGAAAAACATTAGTTTCACATACTAATTATGATTAACCGCATGTCCTGCTCAAATTCACAAGCTATACCCAAACCTTATTCCTGGAAGACAGTTGAGCATAAAGGAGGCTAAAAGATCTTTAAAACAATATTTTTTGCAGTGATCTGAAGAAAAAGCAGAACAGAAACAAAGTCACTGACATCTTTCAGCCTTGAAAGGGTTACTAAGGCCTCTGACTCAGCCAAATTAGAGCAAGGCATTATCTACAGGGATTATTTCAGGAGTAAATCAACCACTTATCCAGAAAATCACAAAAGAACCAAAAACAACATTTTGAACACTACATGCTACACTTGCCTCTATTAGGGTCAGTGTTCATAATTCAACATTATGAAAGGACATCATTGTTTTTACTAAGATTCGGATTTCTCTGATATGAATGGCTGTTTCCTCAATGCTCCAATTATCATGCATGACACAAATGCATAAATAAATGTAATCTGTGAAAAGCAGAGCACAATGATACTGGTATCTCTGTGTTTGTGCTCACAGATTCCCAGAGGAGATTGTTAATCATTATTCCAAGACTCTCTTTAAGAGAAATAGTTATTTATTGTAAGCATGAATCCTACAATTTTTGAAACAGAGATATGAAGTTATTTGTAGAGTCATAGACTTTCTTTGACTTATTTTATGACTGATACGTTTAAATCCAGTTTAATCTGAAAGGTGTGTTACCTATTTCTAGGTGTAATGTAAAATCATGTTAAGGAATAAGGTTTTAAAAATTCTAGTCACATAAGATTTAGGATGAGTTTTTATTTAATGAGGACAGAGATATCCTAAGGTGTTGCTTTGAGTTGCTAAGAGGATTCTGTGTTTGGGCCAAAAATAGGCCAAGTAAAAACTAACTTTACAATTTGCCATTAAGAGAGACACAGTGTTCAGCAGTGCTGCTGGCTGTAGTAAATTGGAGCTTCTCAAGTTTCCCTGTGGCGAGAAAAGAAAGTATATTTTTTAGAGCTTGAAGATTAAGGATAGTAACCTCGGGGTCTTTGCCGATCCCAGTTTAGTGTTAGTCCCAGTTTAATACCCTTTTCTGATTCTGATCACAGTCACACAGATTAAAAAAAAAAAGAACCCTCTTGGCAAGGCCCAGTTTTTCTTTCCAGATGTCACACTTTCACACACGTAAAATAAGAACCAATAAATAAAAGGACAAAACAACACTTGAAGTTACTTTTGATTCCACATTTAGGACAAGAAATACGGAATAATTTCTAGTTCCTCAGGTTGGACAGTAATGAGATTTAGCCGGCAGTCAATATCTAACCTTATAAACTCAGTTCATTAAGTCTACATCTTATTTTTAGGAATAAAGAGTGATTAATATGATCCAGATTAACTCTCACCCATGAAACTGTGCACCGCCAGTGCCCATCAATTCACTACAAGCATCTAATTAGGCACAGATTAGGCATTATTTTAGAGTCAGATGGAGGAATTAAACACCTGAAAGGGATAATAAAGATTGTCATATATTTGTTTTTTTAATTACATTAATCCCCTTTTGTACTTCCCTTTCCATTTGGAGAAAATTGTCTAAAAGATTTAATTAAAACTATCTTTGAAAGTGCTTACTCTGCTTAATTAGGTTCAAAGCTACAACTTGTTGTGAGTGCTTGATAACTGTGTTTAAAGTCAGTTCCCGTCCATTATTGGACCAAATATGATTAACTTTAACCATCATGTTGATAACACATTTGCATTCATAAAAATACACCTACAGTAGCTCTTTTAGATGGCAAATTATTTCAACACGTCAACATAATGTGATATTTATGCGGTGCAAAGCAACTACAAAGATAATTTATGTTTAAAAAGGGGGAAAAAAAATATTTTCTAAAATGTTGTTTCAGAAGTCTTGGAACCCTTACACAGTATTTCACCCTACTTTGGCAAACTGTCCATTGATTGAATTTCAGCACTTTATCTTCTTTGGTAGGAGTCTATCAGCGTCCATCATCTTTACTTCATGGAATCTAGGTGGAAGCTCAACTGTAGAAACTAATTGCTCTCCTAAATCCACCTGCGACACAGCCAATCAGCTTTGAACCACACCTCCACGAAAACCAATCGGCATCCAAAGTTCATCTTAAAAGGCCTCCGATCCACTTGTGTGTTCCTTTGCGCAGGGGGTGACATCATTCAGATGACACCGTTTCAACCCACTTCCAGTCCCTCCTACACCATCATAGCTAAAGCTTCATCAGAGAGTCATTCCTTCCGGACTCTTACTGCGTTCCCTGTCTCATCTCAACCGGTCCGGCAGAAGACCGCCATGTTGAGCCTGGTTCTGCCAGAGGTTTCTTCCCATTAGTGAGTTTTTCCTCTCCACTGTCGCTTCATGCTTGCTAATCATGGACAGGTTCTCTCAACCTGTGTTATCCAACTGGACTTCCATCTTCCAAGTCCCTGAGCGAAGCTCTAGTATCAGCACAAGCAATCCACTGGATCTCCCCATAAAGCTCAGCAGACCGTCTCGCTAACCAGCAGTCTATAGACTGACCAACTTCATCTATCTCCACTCCACTCCACCACCAGTTTAAGGCCTGGGGGGAAACTGCCCTATTCTTTGCTCCTGTTCATGCATATTTATCAGAATTAAGTGCTATGTTTCCTGCCGAGGTCTGAGCGCCAAAGACAAAGTAATTGTATCAATACATTTCTCCTAATTGTCCTTTCTCTGTGAGTTTTTCAAATTGAAATAGTCTTTGCTCACCTTCAAAAACTTTTCTGAATCTCTTAAATATTGCAAACATCTTTCTTTCACAACCCCCTTGAGGGCATGCCATATATATTATTTTCAATTTAGATCTAGAGTGCCAAATCTAAAATAGTTTTTAATAACATATTCTTTTGTGGATTTGGATGCATGCAGGCTTTATTTGGAAAACATAAAATATGTCTTCAGCTTTCTTGCAACCACCTGACAATCTGGGGTAAGATGGTCTGGTATGTACAATCAGAACAGCGAGGAAAAAGTTAATAATTGCTCAAAATGTGCTAAACAGAATAGAGATTAATGTAGTCAACAACATAATCCA